CGGGGCCTCCGGGGCGCGCGTGCGTCGGGCCCGCCACCGGGAGGGCTCCCCCTGAATAACTCTGTTTCCCTCTTCCCCCGGGGTCCCGTCCGCCCGCGCGTCCCGGCCTGTGGCGCTGCAGAGAACCAAAGGACAGGATACTAAAGGTGAGCCCCGTCCTGCTGCCGCCGCGCGGGCCAAGAGGGCCGGGCAGCAGAGTCTGACCCGGAAACTTCCACACGACACAGCTGGCCATCGGGATAGCGAGCGGGCGGGCGGACGGACGGCGGCTGCTGGAGGAGCGGGGAGGGAGGCCGAGGTGGGTGCTGTGTAGCCAGACAGGGTACCCCGAAAAGTCCAGGCAAGCCCCCAGACTGGCTCCCCGCCCTCCCGGAACCCTGGCCGTCCCAGCCGGTCTGTGCTGCCGGCGTAACCAAATACGGCGCCTCGTCGGTGCGCAGCCGTCGCCGAAGCCGGTCAGCAGCCTGGGTTCGGTTGTTTATGCTGGACTTGTGTCAACATCTTACCAGATGATGAAATCTTGGTCAGAAAAGCTAACCTGGCTGCCTGGGAGCTGTGCCTGGTCTTTGTCATTCGTTGTGTAAACATGGATTGTGTGTGCGGTATATACGTGTTGAAGTGAAAGTAGTTCCTCCCAGAGGTGGAGAAAACAGACGCACACCTTCGATTTCCGCACAGAAGGTCAGTATCTGAAATTCTAAGATCCTATTTTGTAACTTGTCGTTCTAGTGCAAAATGGTTCTCTGCATCAGAAGGACTCTGTTCATGACAGTGACTTTGAGCCCTACCTTTCTGGACAGTCTAATCAGGTGAGTTTGTTTTGTGAGCTTGCGTTTGTTTTTGCATTAGTTGGGAGTTCTGGTGGTAGGGCTAGACTGCCAATCCTGCATTTCAAACGGACTGTGTGGCCCACTGCTTTATCATCCAGCGCCATACCTGGACTGCTTGTAAGGTTAGGGAAGTCGTGAAAAGAATGGAAATGAAGGTTTTGGATCATGAGTGAGATGAAGACGGGGCCTCAGTTTTCTCTCTGACAAACACAAGGCGAGTTGGCACCAGAGTTGGGGTGTGCATCCACCAAAGCTTTCTAGTGACTTGGTGTAGTAGAGCCGTTAAGTACTGGACTTGAGCCAGACTAGGTTTTGATCTTGGATTTACCACTTACCAGTCAGGAGGTATACCTGCTGTGTGTCTCACTGTTTTCCTCTGTAAAGATAGCAATAGATCCTCATGGAATTGTTAGGAGGACAACTTTAGATGGTGATGGTGCCTTTACAGTTCCCAGGAGTCCTTGTGTGGTGCTGTAAAATAATCACTGGACTACAAACCACAAGGTTGGCAGTTCAAACCCACTAGCCTCTCCTTAGAATATGTATGTAAGGTTGCTGGAAGTTGCAACCAACTACCTGGCACTTAACAACAACAACAACATACAGTTCCAAGATACAAAGCCCAGTATGTTGTAGCTGCCTGTTTTGTTGGGTAGTTCAGGATTTCTCAACTGTGGATATTTGGAACCAAAACATTCCTGCAGGTAGGAGGGCCTGCCTTAATCCTTGCCCACGATTCACTAGCTGCCTGTGGCACCTATCCCCACACCACCCCAGCAGGTGACAGCTGGAAATGTCTCCAGATGAGGACACATTTCCCCGGTTGTGAACCACTGGGTCCGAGTGTGATTCCTTATTGTAAGAAGAAAGCCAGGCTTAGCCTCTTCCTGTGCAGAATCGAGCAAGTCAGCCATCTTCTTTTCTTGGCTGTTTGCCTTCTCTACCTGTCTGCCTCCCACCTCTCCCACTGTGCTTCAGGAAGTAGCTGAGGGTCTGAGATCCTGTCCAGAGACCTAGGACCTCTGCTCCCAAGGAGCTCCCCCTCCTCTGGGCCGCCATGGCCTACAGTGTTTTGATCCCTTATTTTCTACTTATTTCCTTTCTATGACTTGAACACTACAGCAGTGTTGTTTGTCAGAAAATCAGGACGGTGGCTTCTCTACCCTGGAGATCCATTTTATCAGCTAGTGATTTGGGTCGATTTCACTGACAAGAGAGCAGATTCCTGCTGTGTCCGCAGTGTCGCTGCAGCTGTGCCTTGGGTAGAACTGCTACCAGCGAACAGCCTCAAGTGGCACCTTCATCCTTAGTGTTTTGAGGGTGCACGTCTAGCAAGGGGACTCAGCAGCATCTTAATTTGAGTAAATCTGCTCTGTCGACTTTCAGTAGAGATGGAAAGCATGTCTCACAGGAGCCTTCAGATCTGGTGGTTCCTGGGCCTTTCATTTTCTAGATGAAGACAGGGAGGGCCAGAGAGGGCACATGGTACGGCCAGGGTCAGAGAGCCAGCCCCCACTAACAGTCGGGGTGCTCCTCTGAAGCATTCAGCTAATGGCTGCTCTGTGGTATTGCTTATTGTCAAGTCTGGAGCCATAGGTAGGTTTTGCTTCTTTGCCTTCGGTTCTCCCAGCACGCTTCTAGTCATGAGTCATTACTCATGGTCTTGACTTTTCTGAAGAAGATTTCTACAATTTAGACAAGTTCTTGCTTACATTTTGATTACCAGTTATCTGAGTAAGGCACCAACAAGTCCACCTAGCTAGATGGCCCGGGACCAGTTGAGCCTTTACCTGGCGTGTTCTCCAGGGGTGCTGCAGAGGGACCTCCTGGCACTTGGCTTTCTGTGTTCTAACAGTGTACGGGGCAATACTAGTACATGATGACATGTACGTGCACATTTTTACACATGTGCACCCTAGAAACCATTGCCATAGATGGGGTGAGTAAGCATACCACCACCCTAGTGGTACTGGTAAGATACTGCATGTTTCTCCAAAACTTTTGAAGTTACATGGCAGGAAACTGGAAGACACATGTTCATTGCAAGTAGGATTCTTTGAAGTTTAAAAAGATTTTGCCATTTACCGTAGTATCTGCGCAAGGTCAACAGTTCGAATCTGTCGGTCACTCTACAAGGGATAAATGAGGTTTTCGGCTCCCATAAAGACTGACAGCCTTGGAAAGCCTATACAGGATTGCAGTGAGTCAGAACTGACTCCACGGCACCCAACCGCCTTCATAGCATCTGCATTCAAACTTCAGTCTTCCAGAATCCTATTTACTCCAAGTGCCAATATTTTCATATTTAAACATAATGATGGAGTTGTTATTTGTGCCACTTCATGAAGTTGTAAGGTGGGCTGAATGCAGTTGAACTTGTAAAGCTCCGATGGGGACGTGACCCTTGGAAGTGGCAGTACTGCATATGAGGATGTATGTCTGAGCTCACCGTGCCTGGTGTTGTGAGACTGGAGCCTGGGCCCCACAGCGTGTGACATGCTATCTGAGCCTCAGTTTAAATGCTCAGTTGTTAGCAGACTTGTCTGCCTGCTCACATCTAACGGGAACAAGAAGGAATGACCCAGAAGCCTCTTTGTTTTTCCTTTTCAGTAATTTAGTTGGGTTCTAAGCATAATATGAAACACTTTCTTTTTGCAAAGGTTTTTAAGTCTTCCTGTTTGCTTTTGTTTTAATGTAGTGCAGACTTTAGAAAACCACATGTGGTTTTTTGACTGCCAGATGGTGGTGGTTGGTGGTTATGTGCCATGGAGTCGGTTCCGATTCAAAGCGTCCCTGTCCAGGGTTTCTGAGGCTGTAAATCTTTACAGGAGCAGAAAGCCTCATCTTTCTCCTGTGGAACAGCTAGCTGGTAGTTTCAAACTGCTGACTGTGAGGTTAGCAGCCCGATTCATAACCACTGTAGTTACAGTCTATTCTGGACTACTCTGTAGGAAAACCACACTGTTAATCTAGTTCTTGTGTTAGCCAGAGATTGGCTTTAGTTTTGAGTAGTCATTTAGGAGCCCTGGTGGCATAATGGGTTAAGCATTGGGCTACTAACCCTAAGGTCATCAGTTCAAATCTACCAGCCTCTCAGCAGGAGAAAAACCAGGCTGTCTGCTCCAGTGAAGATGTATAGTCTTAGAATTCCTAAGGAGCGGTTCTGTTGTTGTTAACTGCCTTTGAATCAGTTCCCACTTATATCAACAACCCTGCATAGGGTTTCCAAGGAGCAGCTGGTGGATTTGAACTGCCAACCTTGAGGTTGGCAGTCTAGTTCTGATCTTACAGTGCCATACCAGGAGTCCAAGGAGCAGTTCTGCTCTGCCCTGTATGGTTTCTCTGAGTATAGGGGTAAGCTGAAATTTGTACCTGTAAGGAGCTCTGGTAGCACAGTGGTGACAAGTGGTGCTGCTAATCTCATGATCAGCACATCCAAACTGCCAGCAGTTCTGTAAGAGAAAGATGAGGCTTTCTGCTCCCGTAAAGATTTGTTGTTGTCAGGTGCCATTGAGTCGGAACCGACTCCTAGGGACCCCATGCACAGCAGAATGAAACAATGTCCGATCCTGGGCCAACCTCACTACTGCTGCCACACAAGTCCATCAATGATGCCACCTGGCCAGTCCATCTCGTTAGGGGTCTTCCTCTTTTTCTCTGACCCTCCACCCTACCCAGCATGACATCCTTTTCCAGCGACTGTTCTCTCCGGACAATGTGTCCAAAGTATGAGAGACGAAGCTTAGCCATCCTGGCCTCCAAGGAGCACTCTGGCTGCACTTCTCCCAAAACAGATCTACTGGTTCTTTTGGCAGTCAGTCCATGACACTTTCAGTATTCTTCTCCAACACCACAACTCAAAGGCATCAATTCTTCTACGATCTTTCTTATTCACTGTCCAGCTCTCGCATCCATATGAGGTTATTGAAAATACCATGGCCTGGGTCAACATCGGAAATCCTATTCAGGGTTGCTATGAGTCAGAACCGACTCTACAGCACATAACCACCACCACCACACTCTTTCTGCAAAACACTTCTGGCCATGAAACAGGCGGGACTGTCGGGAACTGCTGGGTCTGTGCAGGGCCCAGTCTGCCGAGGGGATAAAACCACAGTCAGAAAGGCCAGCCTGGAAAGCAGCTAAAAAGTTACCAGCCAAGCAGACTGTTCTGGGCTCTTGGTTTTTAAAAAATCTTGGTTATGCATCCCCTAGGGCTGTTTCAAGGAACCCTGGTATTTCTGTGGGTTAAGCATTAGCTGCTCCAAGGAAGAAAGATGCAGCGCTCTGCTTCTATAAAGATTTCCGGCCTTGGAAACCTGAAGGATCAGTTGGCCTGTGTCCCGGAGGCTCGCTGGGACTCAGAATTGACTCAGTGGCGGTGGTTTAAAGCTGCGCTGAGGACCTGACCACGCCGCTTCAGTCCTGGAGCATTTTTCATAACTGCCCTGGATCACTTTGCCTTTTACACAATGTAGCCAAGATTTGTGTTTGTTTTTTAAAGTAAATGTTAGCAGTACAGTGAATTACTTGATATGGTTCTTCTAGCTGTAGTCTTTGTAATTCCAACCAAATGACTGGGTGTGGTGGTGTTACGTGCCCTCGAATTGGTTCCAACTCAGTGACCCTGTGTAGGATTTCTGAGAAGCGGGCTGGTGAGTTTGAACTGCTGACCTTGTGGTTCAAACCAGCCTTGAATTCGAATGCTTACCCTGTGACACCACACCAGGACTATGCAAATGTGAGGTGTTTGTGGCCCACCAAGGGGATTGGATAGCTTAGTAATCATATAAGCTACAAGGCACCCATATGGTGTGAGACCCAGCAAGTAGGGGGGATGGGATGCTCATGTAGGGATTGGTCAGCTTTGCCACCCTGCTAGGTTTCAAATGAGCCATCTCAGAGGTAGACAGGGGGCTCTCACTCCTATCAAGAAAGAACCAAAAACCAGAGGGAGTAGACTCAAATACTGTTGGAAGGTAATGCACTCAGGGAATTGTAATCATTGCAGTGAAACAAAGTATGATAGGATGAGTGCAAAACCTGTGTTCTCCCATGTAAACTATCACTCAATTCACAGTAAAAGCTTTAAAAAGAAAGAAAAGAGCCAAGAGTTAAGCATGTCCTTTGGGCGCTGAGATCCCTTTGCACAGAACTTCCTCAATCCAGGCAACAGAGACCTGTGTCACCTGAGCAGTGGCAGCAGCCGAATCCAAGCCAAGAGACAGGCGAGGGAGCCCATTCCTTAGGGCAGGAGGCATGTTCGTGGGGTGGCTTGCCTCCCTTTTCGTACCTTTGCACTGAGGCTTACGGCAGAATGGATGCCTTTTGGGTAGTATTAAAAGAGCTTTGTGACCATTGCATGCACAGGGCAGAAGTCAAGGGGGCTGGCTGCATGGCTGAGAGACTAAGGACCAACGAGAGGCGTGCCTGGTGGGCACAGCTGGGAAGAGATGTTCCGACCACAGAGCTGTGGTCTGAGCACTTCTGATCCGGAGTTGTGCCCTGTTAACCTCCCTGATGAACTCTAGATCATGAGTATGGTCTTTTGAGTTCTCCGTGGCATTGCAGTGGCTTATTGACCCCAGCAGAGAGAGTGCAGAGGGAGGGCTGCTGTCTGAATTGGGTAAGGAGGAATTGGCCTTGGATTGAGGTTAAGTTTGGTTCTCCTCTCCCCTGGTAAAGCCAGAGAGCAAATGTCAACCTCATACCCCACCCCCATTTTTATGATGCTTCTCAACATGCCCCAGAATTTCTCTTTATTGTAGGTTTCTGAAGTGACTCTTCTGTCACTCCACTGGTCTTACTCCTTTATTGTTTGTGACATCTAAACTGAGTAATTCAGAATTTCTTCCTTCTCAGAAGGCTGGACAGAGGAAGTAAATATTTCACCTTTAATTTAAATGCTTCTAGTCATTGAGAATGAGAGTTTTGTGTATTTTGTTAATGTGTTTAAATTTGAGTAAATATGATAAAGCTCTGTTCTTAATTCTAGGATAAATCTATGGCTTTATTTTACTAGTTCAAAGGCAGTTACAAAAGAAACAACGTAGGGATAATTGTGCCTTTTGAGTCGATTCTGACTTGTTGTGACCCCAGAGTAGAACTGCTCCCCAGGGTTTCCAGGGCTGGGATCTTTATGGGAGCAGACTGCCACAGTGTTCTCCCATAGAGCAGCTGGTGAGTTAGAGCCATGGCACTACCGTGTGTGTCACTGCGTAGTACAGATGTATGTGATCGTGCTGTTTGGCTTTTTCATTTTGCTTTAGTCACTGGAAGGAGGCTTAGAGTCCCAAGTGTGGGGTGTGCACTTTTGGTCAAGTGGCTAGTTTTGCCCTGAAGCAGGTTAGCTCCAGGTCTACAATCTGGAAGGCTGATGTCAGCCGCATTGGGATCTCCTGAGAAGAGCTGGGGCCAGGGCTCAGGCCTCAGAGGGTCGTCATGGTCCCTGCTCTCGGATTAGAGGGGGTGATGGACCCACAGGATGTTCGGACTCTAGTTTATCAAACTTAAGTTAGTACAGCTACAGCTCTTAGAAATGAGCTTGTGTTTTCCTAACTCAGGATCTCACAGTTGACTAGGTAGGTGACTTGTTTCTGTTCTCTGGAGCTGTGTAACTGAGAATAGTGCAGCTCAAGCACCTCTTGTCTGCAGAGAATGTCCTGGTTCCTGGCGGTGGTCAAGCTTGGGGTGTGATGCCTGGGAGGGGGGCTCCTGTCATGCCAAGCTCTGAAAGAGGTCCACTGTGCAAATAGCTGTAACTATATCTTCTTAGCGCTTGGAGCACTTTTAAATCGACAGTGCCAAAGCTGGATCATCCGGACAGGGAGGGGGAGAGCTCTGGTGCAGACCACACAGAGTCGGCAGGCACTGTTCGCAGTGATGTACTTCACGTAGCTGTGCAAGTTCCCATCCTGCTCTGCTCTCCAAGTTTGAAAGGAGACGTGCCATAGGGAAATGGTTTGTCAGAAAGACTGTCATAAGGTTGGAGATGGACAGACTGTACAGTGCCGGTTGCAGGTGGCTTGCCCATGTGATCAGATGGCTGGGAAAGGGGGCAGTGTCTAACATTTTTGGAAACCCTTGGCAGAATTGATTTGAAGACATGGTATTTGAACCTTGTGTTTACTGTTTAGACCACACGTAAACCCATGCAGAGGTGGGACTTGGAAGAGGGCTGTAGGGTGAGATTCTGTGTTAGCGCCTCTCAGGTTCTGCAGCTATATTTTCAGGAAACTCTTTCACGACACCTTGTTTCCGTCTGGGAACTTGAAATCAGATGTGTCTTTCTTCTGGGTGAATATCAGTGCTCCTCCCAAAGCTGCGGCTCAACTCCTTGGATGACTTTTCAGTGATCTTGCAGCTGTAGTGTTGTGTTCCTTCCTTCACAATGACCCCCACCACCTTTGACTTGTCATAAGAGGTCCTGAGGGGTTAAGAGCTTCCCAAGACTAGCCTAACTTGTCCCCAGATGAGAGGTGTGTGGGCCTGTGTGTATGTGAATCAGAGCAAAACCCATTGTCGTCAAGTGGATTCCAACTCTTGGGTCTCACCTGCGTAGGTGCTTGCTTGTGATTAAACAAGTCCTGTGCCTTGGCATGGGGTGTGCTGAGCCTTGCAGTGAACGGTAGGGTGGGGGCTTTGAGTTTGGATCGTGAAGGTGCCTTTGGATTCATTTGGGATTCCCTTGTGAAGTTTTTCTTTTACACTTTATTGTGAATTGAGTGAAAGTTTTCAGAGCAGATCATCATCAGTTTTACATTTAACAAGTGATAACACTTCATTTCATTATCATGGTTGCAATTCCCTCCATATGCCGTCAGGAAATAGTATTGTTTAGGTAATGTTCACTTTAACTCTTGTGATCCACCCTGTATTCCATTGTCTTCGACTTTGCTCTGCTAACCTCCCTCTTGTTTGTGAAGTTTTTCTTGAGCCCACTTGACTAGAGGGGAAGGGTCTAGAGAGGGGCCCCCTTGCACTCAGGTGAGACAGGAAACTCTGAGGGGTTCTTCAAGGGTGGCTAGAGGCATGAGAGAGGGTGCTCCTGGCAGAGTACTCTTGTGCACAGACCCAGACTGGAGGTTCTGGACTGTGTGTGTTTTTCACTGCTTGGTCAGTGAGTGTGAAGTTAGTCGACTTGGGCACCCAGTGCCGCTCATGCACTTCCTGGGTGCTCACAAACCACCTGTTGTAAACAGTTGCCACAGGACAGAGCTTTGTGCCTTTCCGTGGGCCTTACCCTTCCTGGTTTCTGGACACTTGGGAGTAAAAACAGAAGGGGCTGTGAGTTCTCAAAGAACTTACTCGATCATCAAGAGGGGGCTCTGCAGTTGAGGATGGCAGCTGGCATTTCTTAGTTTCAGTTGTGTCTCATTGTCTCACTGATCCCTCGGTAGCCACCTTCATCTCCTTCTGAGGAGAGAGCCCAGTCCTGCGCTTACCGTGTTCCCCATTGGGCTGAGTGCACACCGGACACAGTGAGAGGGCTGTGATGTTAGTGTCTGATTTTCCACACTTTTGTTTTCACAGAGTAACAGCTATCCCTCAATGACTGACCCCTACCTGTCTAGTTACTACCCGCCATCCATTGGGTTTCCCTACTCCCTCAATGAAGCGCCGTGGTCAACCGGAGGGGACCCTCCCATTCCGTACCTCACCACCTACGGCCAGCTCAGCAACGGAGACCATCACTTTATGCACGATGCTGTGTTTGGGCAGCCAGGGGGCCTGGGGAATAACATCTACCAGCACAGGTTTAATTTTTTCCCTGAGAACCCCGCCTTCTCAGCGTGGGGAACAAGTGGTTCTCAAGGGCAGCAGACTCAGAGCTCAGCTTATGGAAGCAGCTACACCTACCCACCTAGCTCCCTGGGCGGCACGATTGTGGATGGCCAGACAGGTTTCCATAGTGACACGCTCAACAAGGCCCCCGGGATGAACAGCCTGGAGCAGGGCATGGTGGGTTTGAAGATCGGCGATGTGGCCACATCTGCAGTCAAGACCGTGGGGTCTGTCGTGAGCAGCGCGGTGATGACCGGCGTTCTTTCTGGCAATGGAGGCGCAAATGTGAACATGCCCGTTTCAAAACCCACTTCCTGGGCTGCCATCGCCAGCAAACCGGCAAAGCCCCAGCCCAAGATGAAGACCAAGAGTGGGCCCATGATGGGCGGTGCGATGCCACCCCCACCCATCAAGCATAACATGGACATTGGCACCTGGGACCACCAGGGGCCTGTGACAAAGGTCCCAGCTCCCCAGCAGACGCCCTCACCCCAGTCAGCCCCACAGCCTGTCCCAATGCAGCCACCGCCTCTGGTCCAGCCTCCATACCAGAACTCCCAGCAGCCGTCCCAGACCCGCTGGGTAGCCCCGCGCAATAGGAACGCGGCCTTTGGCCAGGGAGCAGGTGTTGGCAGTGATAGTAACTCTCCTGGAAATGCCCAGCCCAGTGTGGCTCCGAGCGTAGAATCCCATCCCGTTCTTGAGAAACTGAAGGCTGCACATAGCTACAACCCTAAGGAGTTTGACTGGAACCTCAAGAATGGCCGTGTATTCATCATCAAGAGCTACTCAGAGGACGACATTCACCGCTCCATCAAGTACTCCATCTGGTGCAGCACAGAGCATGGTAACAAGCGCTTGGATGGTGCCTTCCGCTCCCTGGGCAGCAAGGGGCCCGTCTACCTGCTCTTCAGCGTCAATGGGAGCGGGCACTTTTGCGGTGTGGCTGAGATGAAGTCGCCGGTGGACTACGGCACCAGCGCAGGGGTCTGGTCGCAGGACAAGTGGAAGGGGAAGTTTGACGTTGAGTGGATTTTTGTCAAGGATGTGCCCAATAACCAACTCCGGCACATCCGACTGGAGAACAACGACAACAAACCCGTCACAAACTCCCGCGACACCCAGGAGGTACCCTTGGAGAAAGCAAAGCAAGTACTGAAGGTCATCGCTTCCTATAAGCACACCACCTCCATCTTTGATGACTTCTCCCACTACGAAAAGCGCCAAGAGGAGGAGGAGGTGGTCCGCAAGGTGAGTGTGAGCATCTCTCACAGACACCAACCATGGGGTGTGCGGGGTGGTACCAGTAGCACCAGGTGGCTTGTCCAGAGCATATTCACCCAGAGTGATCGTGTTTTCATTGTTACAGTAGTTGGCACTGCAGTGTACAGAGAATTCGAGGCTCGTTCTTTCTGACACTTCTCTTAGTAATCAAAGCTTCCTGACCTTTGTTAAGGTAGGAACTCCTGCTGGCAGAGCTCTGGGGATATGGTAAAGCTGCCCTGGGCTGGAGGTGCTGACTTGGGGCTCAGCAGTTGGGAAGTGAGGGCCTAGAGGTCATTTCTGGGGTTTGATTTTTTTTAAGGATCCAGCACCCAGTAGGTTTTAGGAATTTAGCTCATTCTGTTGAAGTAGTAAAGAAAATGGTGGAGGATGATACTTAGGGCCAGTCATAAACTACCTGTACATTGGGCTCTGAGACTGCCCTAATTCATCACATTGGTACGTAGTAGGGCTCTGTTATTGTTGTTAGGTGCCATCAGGTTGGTACCGACTCATAACGACCCTATGCACGACAGAATGAAATACTGCCTGATGATCCTAGGCGATCCTCACAATTGTTGCCACGCTTGAGCCCATCGATGCTGTGACTTGGCCCATCCATCTCATTGGGGGTCTTCCTCTTTTTCTCTGACCCTCCACCTTACCAAACATGATATCCTTCTCCAGTGACTGGTCCCTCCTGACAATATGTCCGGAGTATGAGAGACGAAGTTTGGCCCTCCTGGCCTCCAAGCAAGCACTCTGACTACATAGTTCTTCCAACACAGATCTGTTTGTTTTTTTAGCAGCCCACAGTATTTTCAGTATTCTCCTCCAACACCATTAACTACGATCTTCCTTATTCACTGTCCGGCTTTGGCATGCATAGGAGGTTAATGAAATCCCATGGCTTGGATCAGGTACACCTTAGTCCTCAAGCTGACATCTTTGCTCTGCAACACTTTAAAAAGCTCTTGTGCAGCAGATTTGCCTAATGCAATACGTCGTCTGATCTCTTGACTGCTGCTTCCATGAGTGTTGATCATTGATCCAAGAAGAACGAAGTCCTTGACAACTTCAATCTTTTCTCCTTTGATGAGAATGTTGCTTATTGGTCCAGTGGTGAGGATTTTTGTTTTCTTTACATTGAGATGCAATCCATACTGAAGGCTATGCTCTTTGATCTTCATCTGTAAATATTTTAAGTCCTCTTCACTTTCAGCAGGCAAGGTTGTGTCATCTGCATATTGCAATTTGACTCTACCGCCAATCCTGATGCCACGTTTTTCTTCATAGAACCCAGCTTCTCGGACTGTTTGCTCAGCAT